CTTTTGCAGCGGCTTTCTGCATACGATAATCACCCCATATATATAATTCGCTTCGTCTGTTTGTTTGTAAGTTTGTTTGTTTGTTTGTAAGTTTGTCTGTCCGGAAATTCGGTTCGACCTGAAGAACGACTTGGAGAGGTCAAGGTGGGATGGGTAGGGCATGGGACAAGAAATAAAAGCACACTTGACCTGACCCAAGCCCCGCCCACTGTGGGCGGGGCACTTGCTGGCCGGCGAGCCGACTGGTAAATCCATAAGCGTTGCTTAGGCGAACATAGAGACAACCATGACGCTGAGCTCGGCTCTGAAAAACTCCCGAGCCTCTAGTTGAAAGAGTGTGTGCAAGACAACGAAAGGACTTTTAACTTAGCAATCGCACCAAGACCTAATTTATCAGGTTCTGTGGATCAGGTGCAATATAACGAAGTATCTGATCTGGGTGGAGCTCCAGTTATGGTGCTACTCGGACCCAAGTCGTGAGGCTTTGGGCTCGCTAGCGCACCTGGACTCTTATTATGGTCCTGAAGTAAACGCTGTAGTGCACCTAGGGTAAGTGGTTGCTCGAGGCTGAAGAAGAATCGGCGAGATGTAGCTTCGAATATAGCAAGGCTCTCCACTCAAGTATGGTACTTGTCTTGCAATGAGGCAAGGAGCAATATGTATTATAAAACTTCCCTTTCAGATTTACTCCTTACGACCCCATTTCAGAGCATATTTTCCGGCGAGTTGACCATCAAGCGAGGAGCAGGAGAGGTATCGAGTATGAGAGCATTGGAATGGATTAAATGACAATGTCTCACTGTCTGCATTCCACCAAAATCACTGAACTTCCAACCCATTTACCATAAAATTTACCTATTTTCACCCAAGAGAAGCTGTCGTCGAGCAGGTGGAAACAATTTTGTGACCTTCTTCCCCAACCACCCCTCCTTTCACCGAGCAAAATGCGACCATCCTACTAGTGTTGTCTGCCAATAATAAGCCAATGACTATTAAGTTTATTTTTGAGGGCCCTTAGAACCTTCTTTCTCAGCATTTTTTCTTCAGGAATCATCACCATTGCGACGTCGTTGTTAGATAATTTAGTTTCATCCGCAAGTTTAAATGTTTTGAACAGCCATAGCTTTCCGACCTCTTGTGAAAGTATAACATTGCCAGAATCTAGAGGATTCCCCTTTTCCAAAAATCCCTGATCTTTCCCGATGCCCACTGAATAGAAATGTTCCTTGTTGTGTACTTGTTGTGGACGTTTGGTTCAACACGATTCGCCCACACCTCCGGTGCAGTGCCATTTCCAGTTTGCTTGAGGACTTGCCATTCTGGAAAAACCTTTTTCTCGAGTTCTTGGGGAGCAGCTCATCTGGGCGTGATTACCATGAGCTCCGCGCTGCGCCTGCAACCGACTCCCTCGACGTGTTTCGGAGCACGCTGAGGTCTGAGACCTACAAACAACTTTCGCGTCACTCTCCTGGGAACTCCTGCCATATGCCGCAGACTCCGTCACTCCCTGAGATCCCGTTGGCTGTCGAGTATTTTCATGGCCCGTATCTGCCCATTTTTTCAAAAAGTAAAGCCTACAGGTGTTGGGAAGGGTTCAACACAGCGCTCAGAAGTTCGTGAATGCTCTTACGATTTGGCAACGCAAATATTTTCCCCAAATGACTCAGCTCGGAAGAAGGGGTTTCTGAGGGGCTCGAAATAGCCGAAGCACCCTCTTCCGCAGTATGTTGCAAATTAGGCCAGAAACTTCAGAAGTATCCTTTTTCGAATGTCAAACTTTCTTGACAGTGCAACTTCTGAAGAGGAAAAAGTTGGGTTGAAGAGCTTTATGTCTAGTATTCACTAACTCTGCCATTTGAGCATTTCTTTTTTCCAAAAATTGCCCCCTCTCCGATGCCAGCTGTTTAAAAATTCCCGTGTGACTTCCTTGTTAAATGTGTTCAAGACGGGCCATCGCAAAATTCACGATCCAGGGTTTAAATGACCACATTATCCGTTGTTCGAAGACTTGTATAAGGCTTCCCGAATGAATCTTTTCTTCAAAGCGATTGAAAAGTATGTGGCTTGTACGGCGCAGATCAACAACGCCGCAGTATTGCGTCATACGTTCGATTTCCACGCAGAGGTACCGGAAAGGTCTTAATGTTGCTCCTAACAGCTCGAAGTCATCAGAGGTATATATGTGTGTACAGCTCGCTCAGTGAATGATGACTTCGTTGTGGGCGGCCATCGTCTTAGCACCGCCCGTGCCTCACTTCTGGGCTTGTAGCTTGGCCTCACTTCTCTTCTTGTAGCTTGCCTCTGCCTTAAGATGTTTCTCCAGGTTTTTTCCAGAGCAAGAACCAAGAATAAATTTCGTTTTGATTATGCAACATCTGACTATAGCTGCTCTTCCCGTTCTCAAACGAGCCCTGCGTTTAAGACTTCCCTCCATCGCTGCCAAATCTTGTGGTATTAGTAGACCGCTATCTCAGCACCTTGTCATTTCTGTTGTTGAACCAGTAATCAGTATTCTAACTCGTAAATTTATTCGCATAAATTTATCAATACAATATGTTCTTTATGTTCTTTCCATATACCAAATATGTTCTTAAGAGCATTTAAGCTTATTGTGCCTGCACGATGCACTTATTTTTCCGGCAACACAGAGCCACAAAGCAATCCCAACGATGCGAAAGCATAGACGGTCATCAGCCTGTCGCTCAGGAACACTCCAAACAATAGTGACGTCATCAGCCGCACCAAGTCAAACTGCAGAGCAAAGCGACTAGAATTCACTTGGTTTAAAAAATCTTTGAAAAATAAAAAAAAACAGATCCGTTTAAGTACCATCTTCTAGATACTATAACCAAGAACCAACTTGTGATCGAAATAGTAGCCAAACATTTGAATGAAGGCGATGATAAAGCTGAATCGGCAGAGAAATTCCGGCCAGCCGAGGTGCAAACGGACCCCTACGAAGTGCACAAAATAGTACAAGAGAAGAGGACCATGCCAATGATATAGTAGTGAAGAGCGCGTGATAGCGGAGGATTATTGCGGATCACAGGACGCTTAATCTGAAATACATAATGAACTGAGTCATGCAAAACTTCACTCTTCGATAGATGAAGCTCATTAAGGCCTTTTACCAGCTGTGAGGCATGCACGAAGATCTCACCTCAGGTATTCCGTCAGTGTTATCCTCCAGAGATATCCATAGAAAGAACCACTTTGTTCGCATTCCTGGGACGTAAGCCGGCGGCAAGAAAGCGGCTTTTACCTACAATTCAATCACTGGTGATTCATCTCATCCAGTACCGCAAAAGGGGAACTAGACTGATCAACATTGAGAGCAGAATGCTCACCTTGTTCCACACACCCGGGAACATCTCTTCGTTCTCCTCGTTCCTCAGCTGACCTCTACCGTAAGTCAAAGCCTTGAGTTCAGAAAATAACTAAAATTGATTATACTGCTGCTTGTTTGTCATCTAGGCCATCTTGCTTCTAAGCTAGACGTGATTATCACAGTTGGTATCGAATGTGTTTACTGGCTTAACCAGTCCATATTCTATTTCTTCGCCTTTTCGTTCCGGTTCATAGGTGCCGAAAATTCTGTAGAAAAGAAGATGTTCTTGTTTCTTCAAAGTACAAGCCTGCCTTCCGCGCCTGAGAAAAAAACCAAAAGGCAGGGCTTTCTTCAAATCCACCTTCGTGGGCACTTATTTCTTTAATTGCTCATGAGAGATTAACTACAAATATGCATGGTGTATGCTAGTATGGGTATCATAGCATGAAGTCAAAATGGCATATTTGAGGGTAAATTTACAGTTCTTATCTCAGCCTGGTGCCACTAATAGCTGGCTCGATTTGATAGCACTAACACACTTCACTGAGACGCGCTACGCCGGCCTAAGTTAATTTTTGGCACTATTTCGCTATTAATGCTCCAAAAACTCATTTGTTTTATCTGAGACTCTATGGAACCACATGGTGATATCACAGGCATCTATGCCAATGCACGGCATATGATCAGCTTTGTTTGTTTGTTTGTTTGTAAGTTTGTCTGTCCGGAAATTCGGTTCGACCTGAAGAACGACTTGGAGAGGTCAAGGTGGGGATGGGTAGGGCATGGGACAAGAAATAAAAAGCACACTTGACCTATGGGAAGCCCCGCCCACAGTGGGCGGGGCACTTGCTGGCCGGCGAGCCGACTGGTAAATCCATAAGCGTTGCTTAGGCGAACATAGAGACAACCATGACGCTGAGCTTGGCTCTGAAAAACTCCCGAGCCCTAGTTGAAAGAGTGTGCAAGACAACGAAAGGACTCTGCTTAGCAATCGCACCAAGACCTAATTCATCAGGTTCTGTGGATCAGGTGCAATATAACGAAGTATCTGATCTGGGTGGAGCTCCAGTTATGGTGCTAATCGGACCCAAGTCGTGAGGCTTTGGGCTCGCTAGCGCACCTGGACTCTTATTATGGTCCTGAAGTAAACGCTGTAGTGCACCTAGGTAAGGCGCTGAGCTGAAAGAAGAACGCGAGATGTAGCTCGAAATATGCAAGGCATCTCACTCAAAAGTACTGCTCCTTGTAAGATGCAGGGAGCAATATCGTATTATACAAAACTTCCCCTTCAGATTTACTCCTTACGACCCCATTTCACAAGCATATTTTCCGGCGAGTTGACCATCAAGCGAGGAGCAAGAGTGGGTATCGAGTATGAGAGCATCGGAATGGATGAAATGACAATGTCTCACTGTCTGCATTCCACCAAAATCACTGAACTTCCAACCCATTTACCATTAAATTTACCTATTTTCACCCAAGAGAAGCTGTCGTCGAGCAGGTGGAAACAATTTTGTGACCTTCTTCCCCAACCACCCCTCCTTTCACCGAGCAAAATGTGACCATCCTACTAGTGTTCTGCCAATAATAAGCCAATGACTATCAAGTTTATTTTTAAGGGCCCTTAGAACCTTCTTTCTCAGCATTTTTTCTTCAGGAATCATCACCATTGCGACGTCGTTGTTAGATAATTTAGTTTCATCCGCAAGTTTAAATGTTTTGAACAGCCATAGCTTTCCGACCTCTTGTGAAAGTAAACATTGCCAGAATCTAGAGGATTCCCCTTTTCCAAAAATCCCTGATCTTTCCCGATGCCCACTGAATAGAAATGTTCCTTGTTGTGTACTTGTTGTGGACCGTTTGGTTCAACACGATTCGCCCACACCTCCGGTGCAGTGCCATTTCCAGTTTGCTTGAGGACTTGCCATTCTGGAAAACCTTTTTCTCGAGTTCTTGGGGAGCAGCTCATCTGGGCGTGATTACCATGAGCTCCGCGCTGCGCCTGCAACCGACTCCCTCGACGTGTTTCGGAGCACGCTGAGGTCCCTGAGACCACAAACAACTCCGTCACTCCTGGGATCCTGCCGTATGCCGCAAGACTCCGTCACTCCCTGAGATCCCGTTGGCTGTCGAGTATTTTCATGGCCCGTATCTGCCCATTTTTTAAAAAGTAAAGCCTACAGGTGTTGGGAAGGGTTCAACACAGCGCTCAGAAGTTCGTGAAATCTCTACGATTGGACGCAAATATTTTCCTCCAAATGACTCAGCTCGGGAAGGAGAAGGGGTTTCTGAGGGGCTCGAAATAGCCGAAGCACCCTCTTCCGCAGTATGTTGCAAATTAGGCCAGAAACTTCAGAAGTATCCTTTTTCGAATGTCAAACTTTCTTGACAGTGCAACTTCTGAAGAGGAAAAAGTAGGGTTGAAGAGCTTTATGTCTAGTATTCACTAACTCTGCCATTTTGAGCATTTCTTTTTTCCAAAAATTGCCCCCCTCTCCGATGCCACTAGTTTAAAATTCCCCGTTGTGACTTCCTTGTTAAATGTTTCAGACCGCCTCGGAAAATTCACATCCACGGTTTAATACCACTTCCATTTTGTTCAAAGACTTGTATAAGCTTCTCGAATGAATCTTTTCTTCAAAGCGATTGAAAAGTAGCTTGTTCGGCGCAGATTGACAACGCCGCAGTATTGCGCCATACGTTCGATTCCCACGCAGAGGTACCGGAAAGGTCTAAATGTGCTCCTACAGCTCAGAAGTATCAGAGCGTATAATGTGTACAGCTCGCTCAGTGAATGATGACTTCGTTGTGGACGGCCACCGTCTTAGCACCGCCCGTGCCTCACTTCTGGGCTTGCAGCTTGGCCTCACTTCTCTTCTTGTAGCTTGCCTCTGCCTTAAGATGTTTCTCCAGGTTTTTTCCAGAGCAAGAACCAAGAATAAATTTCGTTTTGATTATGCAACATCTGACTATAGCTGCTCTTCCCGTTCTCAAACGAGCCCTGCGTTTAAGACTTCCCTCCATCGCTGCCAAATCTTGTGGGATTAGTAGACCGCTATTTCAGCACCTTGTCATTTCTGTTGTTGAACCAGTAATCAGTATTCTAACTCGTAAATTTATTCGCATAAATTTATTAATGCAATATGTTCTTTATGTTCTTTCCATATACCAAATATGTTCTTAAGAGCATTTAAGCTTATTGTGCCTGCACGATGCACTTATTTTTCCGGCAACACAGAGCCACAAGGCAATCACCAACGATGCGAAAGCATAGACGGTCATCAGCCAGTCGCTCAGGAACACTCCAAACAATAGCGACGTCATCAGCCGCACCAGGTCAAACTGCAGAGCGAAGCGACTAGAATTCACTTCGTTTGAAATCACAAGAATCACGTTTAGTAGCCCTCTTGCCTAGATACTATAACCAAGAACCAACTTGTGATCGAAATAGTAGCCAAACATTTGAATGAAGGCGATGATAAAGCTGAATCGGCAGAGAAACTCGGGCCAGCCGAGATGTAAACGGAATCCTACGAAGTGTACAAAATAGTACAAGAGAAGGACCCATTGCCCTAATAGATAGTAGTGAAGAGCGCGTGATAGCGGAGGATTATTGCGGATCACAGGACGCTTAATCTGAAATACATAATGAACTGAGTCATGCAAAACTTCACTCTTCGATAGATGAAGCTCATTAAGGCCTTTTACCAGCTGTGAGGCATGCACGAAGATCTCACCTCAGGTATTCCGTCAGTGTTATCCTCCAGAGATATCCATAGAAAGAACCACTTTGTTCGCATTCCTGGAACGTAAGCCGGCGGCAAGAAAGCGGCTTTTACCTACAATTCAATCACTGGTGATTCATCATCCAGTACCGCAAAAGGGGAAATAGAGCTGATCTACATTGAGAGCAGAATGCTCACCTTGTTCCACACACCCGGGAACATCTCTTCGTTCTCCTCGTTCCTCAGCTGACCTCTACCGTAAGTCAAAGCCTTGAGTTCAAAAAACTAAAAATCCTGATTACTACTGCTCTGTTTTGTCATCTAGCTCTTCTTCTAGCTTAACCTGATTATACAGTTGATCGAATGTGTTTACTGGCTTAACCAGTCCATATTCTATTTCTTCGCCTTTTCGTTCCGGTTCATAGGTGCCGAAAATTCTGTAGAAAAGAAGATGTTCTTGTTTCTTCAAAGTACAAGCCTGCCTTCCGCGCTTGAGAAAAAAACCAAAAGGCAGGGCTTTCTTCAAATCCACCTTCGTGGGCACTTATTTCTTTAATTGCTCATGAGAGATTAACTACAAATATGCATGGTGTATGATAGTATCGCGTAATCATAGCATGAAGTACCAAAATGGCATATTTGAGGGTAAATTTACAGTTCTTATCTCAGCCTGGTGCCACTAATAGCTGGCTCGATTTGATAGCACTAACACACTTCACTGAGACGCGCTACGCCGGCCTAAGTTAATTTTGGCACTATTTCGCTATTAATGCTCCAAAAACTCATTTGTTTTATCTGAGACTCTATGGAACCACATGGTGATATCACAGGCATCTATGCCAATGCACGGCTATGATCACATG